TATATTGCTGAAACCAAAGATCAGCAACATGGATTATGTTGTTGAAAATTTTTAATCACTTAAAACTTTAGCAACATATGTCATGTTGCTAAAGTTATGCATTAGCAACAAGACCCATGTTACTGATATTATGAGAATTTGCAACAAGAGTTATGTTGTTGAAAACAAGCATCAACAATATGGTTTATGTTGTTAAAATTTTTTGATCATTTAAAACTTTAGCAACATATACTTTGTTGTTAAAGTTACACATTAGTAAGAAGATTCATGTTGCTGATTGTCATAGTATCAGCAACATAGGACTATGTTGCTGAAAACAAACATCAACAACATGCTTTATGCTGTTGAAATTTTCTAGTCATCTATTAGTCTTCAGCAATGAAGAATCGAATCTAAGGTAAAGTCGACTCTAAAGCCTTCAAGAGTCAACTATAGAGGGTCAACATTTGATTTTCAAATTTCAAAGAGTTGAGAACGTTCTGGGTATTAAGTATAGTTGACTCTCTCTATTAAGAGTTAACTCTTAATTTAAAAAGTCGACTATTGGCAAAAAAAAATTACGATAATTTTATATAAAATGTCTATGTAGCCTAATATACATGTCCACATATTTTTTTTGACAAAATAGAGTTTTAAATTATTTAAATATGTTAATAAATAATGTAATTATATTAATTAATGTGTCAAGTGTTAAATAGAATTTAATAGATTAAACAAAACCAATTAATAAATTAAATTTTAAATATAAAAATGAATTTTTGTAAGATTAAGAATTAATTAAATTATAATAATTTTAACTATTCACAAGTGCAGCGAGAGAATTTGTTATTTTAAATTTTAGCAACATGATACACGTTGGTGATGGGTAATGGGACTTGAAATTCAAATAAAATTTAACAACATAGAGTATGTTGGTGATAGGGTGCTAAACTTTCAGCAACATAAACTAAACCTTCAGCAACATGGTTTATGTTGCTGAAAGTTCTATATATATACCACACTCCTAACCCATGCTAAGCCATTTGCATGTGTCTTCTTCAATTTCCTCCCATCCCATTCCTGCCTCTGCACCATAACTCTCCACCTCTCTGCCACATCTATCAACTTCTTTTTTTCTTTTTTTTTTTTGTCTTTTCTTTTTGTCTTTTCTTTTCTTATATCACATGTCCTCCATATCTTACCACCCATTTTTATCCATTCTCTAATTAATATGTTAATTAATTTTAATTGTTCTTTGTTATCATTAAATTCTCATACATTTATACCCATAATTGAATAAATTCCATCAATTACTTCAATTCCCTTGAAGCATATTGTATGAAATATTTTTATAAATATTACATTATTAAATAGGTATCAATTTATTTGAAAATTCATATTTATAAATAATTATATATACACTAATTAACAATTTTGTTGTTTTGTTTGTTTTGTA